CTTAATCCCTCCACCAAGAACAGTCAACAAACAAATTAAGGCGAAACTAATAAATTTTAAACACTCAACAAAATGCAAACACAAACCGAAACCTCCAGCCCCAGCACTGTTTGTGGTTGTTTCTGTTGTTGGTCACGCCCCCTTACTCCACCGCCCACGGAAAGGGCACTTAAATAAGTTTGGGAGGGATTTGGCTGGCCATTTTGGTTGTTTCCTGTTTGTTGTGGCACATGGCGTACCTTAACAAAGTTTCTCTTCAAAATTGAGTTGCCTTCCTGGCTGCTATGCGAATTCAATAAATTTGCCCCAAGAAATGTGGGTGTGGGAGTGTGCGTATGTGCTTGGGACAGGCAAAGCGAATCTGAGGAGATGCAAAGAGAGTAGCAGCTATACCAGAAACAGAAATAGAAAGAACGGCAGCTAAGGGGAAAAGTTTTCACAGGTCCTGTAATATTAGGACCACAGAACGGAAACCAGAAACAACATTTCCGAACAGTGGCGTAAGGAGGATATAATCGAGGGGGTTGGAGGTAATAATAGGTATACCCTTTACTCGTAGAGTAAAATGGTATATTGTCTTCGCCTGAGAGTAAAGTGTACGTATTCTCGATCAGGATCACCATCCGAGTAGAACTAGTCAAGTTATAATCGATGCCTAGCAAAATATAAACGCTAAAAAGTTGGGAAGGTTGTCTGATTGTTTATTTTGAAGTTGGTTAGCTGTGTATGGGTATCTGATAGTCGAGGCGCTCAACTGTAGCTGCTCTCTAGTTTGTCCTTTCTAAGCTTTGGCCAATATCACCAATATTAGAAAACGCAGGCGAATTAACATTTTTATTAGAGGGAGGTCCATATGCTGCTGTAGCACTTTATTTACCAAAAAAAACGTGTTTCTTCTTTATCTGATGCAAACAATGACATTTGTGCAGTGAAGCCCCTTTCTTATTATTTTCCGCCATTTTCAGCATGCATACATTCATGCGCAGTACACCTGCGGCTATGATTTAAAAAAATAATAACAACACAAAATTGGTGAAAAATTGCAAGCGAAAGGGCAAAGGAATCTGGGTTACAAACTTTTTGGAATTGTATTCTCTCTCTGTGTGCGCGTTTTTGTTGCCCGCTTATTGCCCTCAAAGGGAATTTATGCCAACGCGAATATTTCCATTGATTTTAGTTTTCTTATTGCCATTTTGCCATCCGCAATATAAAGGAACCCCAACGGTATTTGCATCTTTTAAACTACGTTTTGTTTCTTTGGACTCTCTTGTCACAAGCAAATAAATTGCTGGCTGGCTGGAAAACAATCGCAAAAAATACAAAAAAATCTGAGGGCAAAACCCAGAAAAACCAGCTGCAACGGAAGCGAGCGAGCAGCGAACCAAAAAGGCAATATGCACAAAGGGGCAGGACTGTTCCGGATTCCATTCCGCTCCCAATTCCGAGCGCCATTCGATTATTCATTTTACCGACAGTCGCCAGGCACTGTCCAACACAGTTGCAGGACGCGATGTGCATTACTAAAATGAAGCTCTAATGGCTGCTCCAATTGAAAACTAATCAGTGAATTGAATGAGTTGTCAAAAAAATGGGGTAGCAAATGGAAATCACTGGTCTGAGTATGTGCTATTAAAAATGTATATCGCTACAAACTAATGAAAGCACGCCCAAAGCTCAATCGACGAAAAAGAGTTTAATTAGTATTGCACTACATGGGGCTCAGAAGACCCAAATTGATAAAAACATTTAAGAAAATTGACAGGAGCAATTATTTTAATGCACTTATATACACTTGTGCCGTTAAAAATGGTCTTTCCTGCGAACCTTTTCGGAAAAGGAGTGCGAGAAAGATGGATATGTTCAAGAACTTCAGCGTCTTTTTATTTTAAGCAGTTTTTTGAGTTTAAAAGTATACTTATACACAAAACAAAACAGCATTCACGCTTTAACTAAACGCGTCTGAGGGCGTTAAAGTGGGCACATTGGGATGACAACAACTTTACGAGAACGACTTCTGTGCGTTCGATGCGCACATATATGTAATACTGCATATATCCTAAAAATACCTAATTGCAAAAATTCGACTGATTAGGTAAAAGTTTTAACTAACAAGATTTTGAATGGTTGTAAGACGACCCTGGTAAAACAACATTACATTAATGTGATTTTTAAATTTGCTATGGAGTTCGGCGACCAAGTATAAGTCACCTTACGTTTCCTCTTAAGTAACTGCACTCTATTAGCATCTCCATAACCTTTCAGTTTTCAATTCATCAGTTGCCAAGGTGATAATGCCAAGGCGAAATTATTGCCTTTGAGAGGTCCCGACCCCGACATGCCAAGTAGAAAAAAAGACTTGGATTCGACTTCAGCGCTTCCCTGTTTCTCTCTTTCATTTTGACAAGTATTTTCTGCGCTCGCCCCTATCTCTTATTCTTATCATTGTCTTTGCACTTCTTCTGAGCCTGTGGCGCCTTTATCTTTACTTTCAGTTTACTTTATATCTTTTGTACTCTTTATGTCTTTTGTACCTCTGGTACGTGTGCTGCACGCTTGCCTCCGTTTCCAGCAGCGTAAAATTAAAAAGCTCGGGCCTCCTTGGCCGGTTTCAAAGCAAGAGTCTTTCCAACAACCCACCCCCCACTTCAGACTTTCGGCTTCATCGGCTTTCCGATTAAATAAATAAGGCGCTGCGCAAGAAATTTACTCCGACAAAGTGCTGAGCAGGCTGAAAACTCTTTGCCAGGACTTCGACGAGCCTCAAGCAGTCGAAAGGATCTATAAATTGTGTATATGCCTTTAGTCATAAAATCAAGCAATGCTGACACTGACGATTTGAATGCTCAAATCAGTTCCGGTGGATTTGTTTAGACCTTTCGTCTGCTCCAAAATAAATTCATGAGCGTTGGAAGCAAGCCGAGTCTAAAATTAAGAACAACCATTATTGAACATTAAAAGCACGGACTGACAGTTCCAAGTTTGAATTAGGAAAATAAAATACAACACAATTAAGTTATTTAAATTAACTTACTTGCTGTACAGAAACAACTATTCATTCTTGGAACGATTAGACGGTCCGAAAATAAGGGTCATATGGCTATTTTTTGACTCCTATAATCGCTAAGACACCCGCTGGGCCAGCTGTGGCTATGTCCCCAAATCGAGGCCGATGCGTCGATGCAAATTTGCGGGCGGCTCACCCAGCTCTAGTAAACAGTTAAAAACACGTCCACTGCCGTTGGTGTGTGTGATCTGGCCAGTTGCCAACGCTCGATTGGACATCAGCCGTTGGCAGAAATGGGAAGTAGCTGTAGCTATATTTCCCAAGCTGTTACTTTCAGGAGGTACGTTTAACCTTAACCGTACCTACGGATTTTACGTGGAAAGTACCTTTAGCTTTTTTCTCAAATTGTTATATTCGCCAGGTACGTTCTTTTAAATATGGGTGTCTTCTTTCTCGAATAGGTGCTCTTAAAGTTCTTCTAGTGTGACAAGCAACTATTTTAAACATCAGGAATCAAAACCTGTAAGCCCAGTTTTAGTTTATCCCAGGGTATCCCATTGTTAATGGGGCGTTAGACTTAAAAAAACAATCGACAAAATAACCGTGAAAGTCATTAATTTCGTTTTATCGAACGTTGAGGGCTCAGAACTGAGCGTTCCATTTTCATTTTATTGTGTAACACTTCGTAGAAAAGGCTCTAAATCCTGATATATCTATATTTGGGTCAGTTAAAATTTGTACCTTGTTCCATCACTGCAGTTGGCGTTTTATGCTAGAGTGCGCGTGCCACGTGAACCACAAAGGCCCGCAAAGCGGATTCCGCCCGGTGCCAGCGTCCGTTTTATGGGTCATTGGATCATCAGTTCTGCAGTTGTGCAGTTCGTCGGCAGGGGAGCGAGTTGCTAAGGAGGACTTGGGACTCGTCGACTCGAGGTGGCCCCGCTCCGGATCCGGACTGATGAAAAGCCAGCAAGCACATAACCTACATGAGGCTGTCACGGCACTGAGATGGCTCAGCCATGTCGAGATGAGCCGGGCAGATGTCCTCCGACCGACAGCCAAACGGCATCATTAAACAGGAGCAAAGTGCCCATCCTCGTCGTCGCCATCATCAGCTTCATCATCATCCGCGCGGAGGACCAGTTGGCGATTCCACTGAGGATGGGTCATGTATTGCCCTGTGGCAATACACATCAACTTCAGCACGTGCTGGCGATGTGGCGATGTGGGCACTGCAAAAAAATAAAATCCTAGGGACTTGAAGTAGTCAAGCATTTAGGACCCGCGCCGGAAGTTTCTTTAGAAGTCAGAAGAATGCATAAGTGCTATTTTTCAAAGAAACAAAATTCCCAGAAAATAATACAATTTGATTGCCCATATTTTGTTTACTTTATTTTTCTAGTTGAAAAGATCAAAGTACGCAAGCATAATACAGTATAGTAAAATGGGATTATTATACCCGTTACTCGTAGAGTAAAAGCGTATACTAAGTTCGTCGGAAAGCATGTAACAGGTATATATTCTTTATCAGCATGACTAGCCAAGTCGATCTCGCCATTACCGTCTGTCTGTCCGTCCGTATGAACGCTGAGATCTCGGAAACTATAAAAGCTAGAAAGTTGGGATGTGGCATGTAGAATCTGGAGCTTATTACGCAGCGCATTTTTGTATCAGCAAGGTGCCACGCCCACTGTAACGCCCGCAATCGCCCACAACGCTAAAAGCCATCTAGCACCCACATTTTTGAAAAATTTAAAATAGATTTTTTGTTGATTAAAAAAAGAACGAAAAAAATCAAGAACATTTTTCATGAAATGCGAACAATCCGTTCTCCATTTTTAGTTCTCACATTTCGAACGTTTGTTCACGAAAATTGAACGGTGTTGGTAACAATTACTACCGACGAATAACTTTTTTCCAAATTGCGAAAAATGTTCTCAGATATCGAACGCCGTTCATGAAAAAGCTGCGATAGACGCGTTAAAGTCTTTCGAAATCGATAAATTATCAACATCGGTCATAAAAACATGTATGTAGGTCTAGTGTCCCGATTGTCCGCACTTGAAAAATTCGCTCGGTGGTCCAGCTACTAGAGCGTCCGCCTCCGACACATGGTAGCACAGGTTCGAGTCCGCGAGAAGACGGTTGTGAATTGTAAGTTTTATTAAAATACTATTTCTAATGTTTATATGTACTTCTATTAATAAATAAATTCTTTGTCTTCAGCAAAATATCCAAAATACATTGAATTCTAGCAATAACAAAACATAAGGTAGGAAATTAAATAAATCTCTACCAGGCGTCCAGAAAGTCTAGCGTGTAAACAAACCTCATTTTTTTTTTAGATTTTTATGTTCTCAGGTTAAGCCCGAAATGTTCTTAAACTGACACCATTCGTTCGGAACCCGACCCTAAAGTTTCGGTCACATTTTACGAACGACCGTTCATGAACTGTCAACAAACGGGCTCACGCACTTTTTGACAACGTTTGGTCTTTATTTTTGAACGTTTCGAACGAATTTTTTTCTGGGTGCACTTGATAACTACATGCCGTATCTCTGTCTCCCTCGCACACCTGCGAGTCCCAGTACATTTAGCTCTTGTTTTTCAACTGGTTAGTTTCTTCAAACGTTCAATTTTGCTAATTCTCAGTTTTAAATACTAAAACTATTTCATCTCTGACAAAGTTGGCTCACCTAATGGTTTGTCCTTTTCAGTAGATTACATACTCGTACGCCACCTTTCCCAATGGACGTGTCCTATCGCTGTAAAAGGCTCACGGCTTCCATAAATTTTCTTCCAGTATAAAATGCACCACATACATGTTTGTATCTGCCTTTCGCCCGCTCTGACATTTTCTATTTCGTGCCGAGCATTTCTTAGACGGGTTCTCCTTCTGGCGTGGCATTAAGTGCAGCCGATTTATGAGGCAACTGCAAGTCATTGTTTGATTGTGCGCGTGCCCAGTCATTCCTGATCAATTACACCCGCCGACATTTGTTTGGCGGCTCAGGGCCCAGAGCCCATATCCCAGAGTCCTTGGACGCGGGGCCCTCAGTGCTTGTGCCCATACTAGTGTGCAAGCGGCATATCATTGTCACTGTAATAAGTGACGCGTGTACTCAGTGCATGCACCTGAGTACTGGGACCCCTTCAGTGCTGGGAACTCAGTCACTTGGTAGCTAAGGCTGCCAGCTACAACGCACGATATTATTTATGAAATCGAAGATGTTCATGAATAAGATGATGAACCTATCAAAGATAGAGAATATCGATTGACTTAAAAAAAGTTTGCAGTTTATACGCCAGAATACACCAATAATAAAATAGCTATTGAGCAAATGAATAGAAACAATAAGTCTCAGTACTGGAGCTAACGCAATTGCTCTCAGACCAAAACCCTACCACAAATGGTTTACTCCAAAAATCTTTGGCGGAATATATTTGGAAGCTGTTTGAGCTAATTTTAAAATGTTCTCTTTCCAAATTTCTACTTAGCTACAGTACATATGGCAGCACTGTCACCGTGTTCATTCTCGTGTGCCCCCGTTGTAAATGAATGTGGGTTTGGGTATGGGTATGAGTAAGGTAACCTGCACCTGACTGGATGTCACACAGGTATTGTACATCACTCCCACTTGGTGTTTGTTTAGGCACATGTAAAGCATATCTTGTCTGGGCCATGTCGCTGAGAGTTCGGTTGCCAGAAGCCAAGATCCACGATTAGGCGAGTAAACAAATGGCTAGGCGGAATGGGGACCCAATTCGCATAAAATTTCGTGTTCTCACGAAGAGCGGATGGGTCCTCAAAGACGATGGAATGTGGGTTTCAGAAATTATGTATTCTACATTTTGCACATGTTACATTTAAAAAGCAATAGTTTGTCGAAGGTTTTACTTAACTTACTTTCATAATTATTTTCTACTCAGAAAATATAAATTGTAGTTTTTATTGAATTGACATACACAAATTTATTTAGAAACAAGGAAGAACGCTATAGTCGAGTACCTCGACTATCAGATACCCGTTACTCAGCTATATGGAGATATGCAAGCAGCAAAGCGAGATTAAAATGCGCCACCTACCGGCGGTATACAGATTTAAGCGTTATGGGCGTTAGAGTGGGCGTGGCAAATTTTTTTTTGGATCAATCGATAGGTATCGACGAGACCAATACATTTCAGTTAAAATTTTTTATCTAGCATGAAAATTGTGGGCGTCACAGGTTTTTGCGGTTTGTGGGCGTTAGAGTGGGCGTGGCACTCTACTGAAACAAACTTGCGCTGCGTAAGAAGCTCAGGAATCTTCACGCCAAATCTTAATAGCCTAGCTCTTATAGTTTCCGAGATCTCAGCGTTCATCCGGACGGACAGACAGACGGACAGACGGACATGGCTAGATCGACTCGGCTAGTGATCCTGATCAAGAATATATATACTTTGTGGGGTCGGAAACGCTTCCTTCTGCCTGTTACATACTTTCCGACGAATCTAGTATACCCTTTTACTCTACGAGTAACGGGTATAATAACAACGTTGGGTGGATGACAATTTGCGCCACTTAAAATTAACTTGTCAACCTTGTAGCTCATCTTTCCTTTACTCTCTTTCTATCGAACAATCCCCATCTGAAGTTCTCAGATAAAGTCGCTTCGCACTTGGCTGCATATGTCGGTGGAATTCATGGGTTTCCTTCACGGAAACACGTGGTAATTTGTTGCGACAACTTGTTGTCAATAAGGAACACAACTGTGGCCCGTCTGATGTTCCAACAAGCCCCAAAAGGCACCAACAGGGTCGCGTGAAAAATGCATACGGACAAATATGCATTAAGTGCAAAAAGGATATCTGAAGGGAGAGCGACGTGGGTAAATAATTGCAATATAATACAATAATCATTAAAGCGGCCGGCAAAGTCCTGCCGGCCCAGGTCCTCTGGATCCTGCAGTGCATGTGCCTGGCGTTAATTGCTGCATAAATGGCATGAAGTTCATATCCTGTCACAGTTCGTGGCAACCGCAGGTTGCAGAAGGAGCTCAATGCCCGCAACTTTGCTCTTTCGGCCTAAATGAATTTACAGGCCTTTATGGCCTTTCCCGTAACGTCTACCGATTAATTTCATTTTGCTCGAAGCACGCCTGCTGGAGAACGCCATGTAAATGTATTGTTTTTACTTAATATTAAGTAACCCCTCTGTTCGAAGGAGTTCCTTAAAGAATGTGTTTTGGGACTTTAATTTATTTGAATAGGGAAACCTTCATTTGGGCTCTGGTTTTAACTACTTCACTTCCAGCCAAGCAAATTCCTCAACATTTACATAGTTATTATTACGCGCTTTGATTTTTACAAATGTTTGTATACCCTGTAATTTTGTTTTGATTATCAATCTATCTATCTTCATGCTAAATATTGTCCAAATTGGACCATCCATTGAGAAGTTAAAAGCAAATAAATAAATAGACGTTAGTTGGCGCTGTTGCGAGGTGTGCAGAATTAAAACAGTCGCTGCTTATATCTCTATAGCCCTCGCCCTCCCATGAGCTAAGTAACGGGTATCTGATAGTCAAATGCGTCGACTGTACACTCAAAAAAAAAATCACCATAAATATTAGAAAATCGCCCGTGATTTCAAAACGCCATTGAATTAAGAAATATTTTCTTGATTATAGAAAAAATGCCTACAATTTAAGGAATTCGCCATAATTTTTTTTTTTTTTGTAATGAAGAAGAGGAAGAATCCCATTTTTTTCTTCAATTAATGGCGAATTTTTCTTGATTTTTTTTCTTGAAATAATGGTAAATTCTTACTTAAATTTAGGAAAGAAATATCCATATTTTAAGAGAAAGTGACTTTTTTTTATACATTTTGATGGTGGTCTAGCTGGTAAAAACGTCCGGTCAATAAACAATCGAACAAAAGTACCTGGTTCGAGCCCACGCCACGGCAAGTGTACCCTTTGTTTATTTATTTATCTTTTTTTTTTAATTTATGTAATTTTTATTCTTATTAGTTTCACTTTTCTATTTACCAAATTGTTTAAACGGTTGTTAAAAAGGTTTAGATTAGAATAAACGTTATTTGTATGCGTAAAGCTGGACCAAAAGCACCTTAGCCCTCTTTAGTCATTGTATGACAAGAAGCACGCGTGGCCGAATGGTTAAGACGTCTGGCTATGGTGTGAGCAGTTGCGGGTTCGAGTTCACGCCGGGGTTGTCTGAGGTAAGGATTTTTCCATTTGTTATATTTATTTATATGTTTATAAAAAGTATTTATATAAAATAAATCTTTAATAAATTCAGGTAAATATAAAAATTTTCAGACTGTAGTATGTATTCCCATGTAATAATTGCCATTAAAATTAGAAACGGTTTTATCCATTTAAAATTCAACATTGGTATACAAAACCAACCAAATTCCTCAAATGTAAGGTGTAAAATGTAAAATGATGTAAGCTGTAACGAACACACTCTATGAGCGTTGTCCACCCTAACACCTCTGTCTACGCTTTGACCGGCCTACTCAGGGAGATGGGTGTGGGTTTGTGTTAAGATGAAACAAGAGTGTCACAGAACTAACAATAGTAGACAGAGAGACGGTAACGATAAGGATTTTTAACCCATCGGCTAAGATTCGGACGAGAGACTGTACCTATCGAAGACGGAGGCCCAGATGTTATGGCCACCTTCTATACCCACCCTACCTGTGAAGTCTCATTAGACTCCACCCTTAAAACAACCGCTGCGCTACATCCTCTAAGGTGCCCTCAAAAGATCACAAACTAATTCATCTTAAATTTCATTTAATACGGCAAATACGATAATATGGTTCATGGTTCTTAATACTACAAATCCTAACACTAAAGCCTTAGAACTAAGCGTTCTTTACGCCAAAAGACTCTCTATATGATCGAGTGTCAGTACAAGATTATCAAATAGGAAAAGAAATGGATATTTTGTTTACGTTAAATTATTACAAAACTGATTACATATTTTATCGATATGCGGCAAGCTTATTCAAAAATTACAGGAAATCACTTAGGCGTATTACGTTAAATTATATAAGTGCAAACGATTCTTATTTAATATTTATATCAATACGCGAATGTGGAAAAATTACATGTATATATTGGTACCAAAAGTGTGCGGGCTCAGACAAGAATGAATATATATGTAGGAATGTAAATGATTTACGGCTATGCCGTACTTACGAACTCTCCAACGAAGTCAGCAGGCCTGATGACGATCGATGTGCGCTGTAGGATAATTTAATTTAAGTGTATATATGTCATACTATGTCGTAAGCACACACGCAAGTATAAAAGCTAAATAGGAATCGTAAA